TGTAATGAAAGTTAAAAGAGATGCGATTGAAATTGCGGTAAAGACAGAAGCTTCATTTGATGAGACTGTACAAGATGTTATATTAGGTTGTTACATAAGTCTTGTTACACTTAACTTCTAACGGCGATAAGTCATACACCTCATGGTCTTTGCAGGACTCCAAGGTACCATTCGATAGAGCAAAGCAAGCTCTACAAAATGGTCTGCAAAAGTTCGCACCAGCTCCGACCCACCGTAAGTTTGCAGCCAAAATCTGAGTCGTACTGAAATTCAAAAAATCACGAAAAATTCATATCTTTGTTCAAACAAATCCTACGGATCTCCAACTTGCTCACAAAAATTGCCCACTATATCAAACACTCATATATACCGTTGCTGTATTTTTTCCTTATCTAGAAATCGAGAAAAAGAATTTTTTTTAGTTTTTACAAAAACGAAGCTATGCTATTTCTATTCATATAACTGTATACTACAAGCTCTTAGAAGTATGAACATAAATTTTCAGCTTTCCGGATGCCTTAGTTTTCGAAAAAATACCAAATTCAGCTTTTTTCACTCGGGTGTTCAATGCTAAATTAGGTATTTTTTCGAAAACTAAGGCATCCGGAAAGCTGAAAATTTATGTTCATACTTCTAAGAGCTTGTAGTATACAGCTACATGAATAGAAATAGCATAGCTTCGTTTCTGTAAAAACTAAAAAAAATTCTTTTTCTCGATTTCTAGATAAGGAAAAAATACAGGAACGGTACATATGAGTGTTTGATATAGTGGGCAATTTTTGTGAGCAAGTTGGAGATCCATAGGATTTGTTTGAACAAAGATATGAATTTTTCGTGATTTTTTGAATTTCAATACGACTCAGATTTTGGCTGCAAACTTACGGTGGCTCGGAGCTGGTGCGAACTTTTGCAGACCATTTTGTAGAGCTTGCTTTGCTCTATCGAATGGTACCTTGGAGTCCTGCAAAGACAATGAGGTGTATGACTTATCGCCGTTAAGTTAAGTGTAACAAGACTTATGTAACAACCTAATATTAGGTCATAAAGAAAGTTCTGCCAATAAAGAGGTTGAGCTGATTTGTTTCACTTATATCTTCATCAGAAATGGCTGTCAATATATTTTGGTCAAATGTTCTGATCTAGCGAAGTTACGAAAATTTTGTCTGTACACGGTGAACCACATTTCATGTCTTCCTAGTCACGCCAAAGATCAGACAACGTATCATTTGATTCAAACCCTTATTCGTATTAGTTGAAGCAAAATTAATCGTTGCAGGCCCTCTTGACAGAAAACTGTTTTTCTCCAAAATTTACTTCTTAGGTTAGGCTTATATGCTATGAGAGCTTACTAGTGCTTTCTAACGGTGGTTCAAAAGGCTTCTATCCCTGTTTGTTGAAACGTTGCAAAATGAACGCATGGACGCAAAGTCGCGCAATTTTAGTGCATTCAGTTTGGCCAAGATTCAAAAAACAGCTATTGTACAGGTAGTTTTTGTCCACATATTGCGTGATCATTCATATGTTCGGAACTTTCCAAACAAATCGATTTGTGGGTAATCGCTGCTGGCGAATCGGCAAGCCTTGTTCAGTTCTACAAGTGAGAGTATTACGTCTTGCTAGAATCTTTTGCAGATAAAGCTAGCTGTTCAGTACTAAGTAACTGTAAATTTCTTGAAATGTCTTTCGCAATCAAAACCGCAGTGGTTAACAATGGAGACTTTTTCTTTCTCTATCGCAGCTTAGTTGAAGATCTGCAGTATGAAATAGATTAATCACCAGCTTTATCAACAAACTTGAAGGGAGTCAGAGTTTGTCGAAGACAATGCTTTGAAAAATTTGTATTTAGTGCGTAGTTCTTTATCCCACAAATCAGTGTAAGCGAATGTGCGCTACATATGAAATTACTGCTTTAGACTATTTTTATGGCAATTGAAAATGTGGAGTTTTGAGAAGATAACTTTTTGTCAAATTGAAACTCTGCAAAACAGACCTCAGCTGCATCAACCTAATGAACTAGGTTTTCTAACTCACTGAAATTAAGTGTCTGAGAAATATATATAAGAGCGAGCGAATGTGTGGCAAACTTCCATTATACTGATTCCAGATTTCTACCAAATGGCTCATCAACTAATTCGTTTACGCTCATCATGCCTTATCGCTGAAGTAGATATGAAGTTTCGCAGTACCAGTCAGTTCAAAATCGTATTTTTGGTATATAAATGTGATACGTTTAGTTGAACCAAAAGTCGTTCGCACAACCCCCAAAAAAACCAAAATCTAACTTCTGCCTTCACAACAATTTTGTTCAACTCCAATTTGCTTAGAACGCGCAAAGCATGCACCTTCGAATAAACGCCTAAGAGCTTCCAGCTATCTTCAGATTGCAGAAAGAAAAATGGAAGAAGGACATCTTCCTAGCGGTGAAGAAAGGCACCATGCCAAAAGCAAACATCACTTTCATTTCCAGTTTTTTTGGTTACTCTTTTTTCCTCTATGTGACTTTATCATCTGGCATGTCGTAGTTTCTTACGAAGTCGACGGGGGACTTCGTTTGCAGGATCCTCCGCGGTCACAACGTGCCAACCCTTCTTGCAAGTCTCACAATGCGACACACATGATAATTTAGCTGACATCTCAAGTTCTTTATGCAGTGTCTTCGAATTTTGGTTTTGACCCCAATGTCGTAAACCTACCTAACCAACCTACAACAAGGTGCTATTCCTGACTAGGGAAACACCACAAATCGCGCTGGCACTATCTCCCGAATGGCTCTATAGGAAGTTGAGCTTTTAAATTTTTAAATCTGGCAAATACACAGCGCCGTATATTCATAAATTAGCTATTCAAGAAACTCAGTCATGTTGCAAAAATATGTCTCTTCCATGATATTAGTACACAGAACAACGGCCAATATTCCCTCCGCCGATCTGAACGTGTATGTACAGTGACCGCCAAAAAGTTGCGGACAAGTCGCCTTCCTTCTATTATCGCTCATTCAGATGGAAAACAAAGATGAAAAAATGTTTTAATTGCATGGAGTGATAGAGCTCTGCAAGAGCTACAAACTACACGTTGCGCTTTCTGGAAAACATGTATCCTAAAAATTTTAAAAAACTTTTTCTAAAAAGGGTCCGAAAATGGCCGCGTCACATTGTCGCGGACAATAATTCTTCGAACGCGAAAATTTTCATTTAGGTCTTTATTTGGAGCAAAAACAAAAGTTTTCCGGGCAGTTAAGCATACTATATTGTAGAACTCATCGAGGACAATAATCCGGTAGTGGTTACTTCCACAAAACTCAAACTTAAATTTTATTTTGCTTCTTTTCAAAAAATAATTTCTAATTCCCTGCTTCAAGCCGAATTTCTTCACATGGAAACCCATTCAAGATATTCCAACAGAGCTATTTGGATAAAATGGATGCCCTTTGCCATCTTCTGTGCATCGAACGTGTGATGGTGAGTTTCTTTGCTGAAAATGGCTTTCGACAGTGCGTGCACATGACCCCATCTGCACTTCACCGCTGACTTGCACCGATTTGCAGGGTTGTAGCTCGGCCAGCAGTCATTCTATGAGCCCGCATATAGGCTCTTTCAAAAGAGCGTGACTTTTTCGACGCGATGGTATGCAAATAAGTTGAGTTTGAGAAGCTCCGGAGATGCTACGGATGTGATGAAAAGGCGCAGCCTCAAAGGTGATTGGAATGAAAGCTCTTATTAACATCAGTACAATCTTGGAGCTTAAAAATGGATCTATTGCAAGAAAATTGACAGTTTCAAACTTCTAGGATGGAATTGGTAGCTAAAGGAGCTCTGTTCAACCTTAGCTGAAAAATCCTTAGCCTACCACTGAAGCTGCACTTTGTCGCCCCATCCGCAGAATCTCCGACATTTCTCAAACTTAACTAATTTCCATACCATCATGTTGAGGAAGTCACGCTCTTTCGATAGAGCCTGTGCGCAGTCTCGTAGATTGGTTGGTGGCTGAGCTACAAGCCTGTGAAGCGGTGTAAGTCAGTGGTGAGGTGCAGGTGGGGTTATGTGCACGCACTGTCAAGAGCCATTTTCAGCAAAGAAACCTCACCAGCACACGTCCGATGCATAGAAGATGGCAAAGGGCATCCATTTTATCCGAATAGCTTTGTTGGAATATCTTGGATGGGTTTCCATGTGAAGAAATTTGGCTTGAAGCAGGGAATTAGAAATTATTTTTTGAAAAAAAACAAAATAAAATTTAAGTTTGAGTTTTGTGGAAGCGACCACTATCGGATTATTGTCCTCGATAAGTTCTACAATATGGTATGCTTAACTGCCTGAAAAACTTTTGTTTTTGCTCCAAATAAAGACCTAAAAGAAAATTTTCGCGTTCGAAGAATTATTGTCCGCGAAATTGTGACGCGGCCATTTTCGGACCCTTTTTAAAAGAAGATTTTTAAAATTTTTAGGATTTTTTTTTCGGAAAGCGCAACGTATAGGTTGTAGCTCTTGCAGAGCTCTATCAACCATGCAATTAAACCATTTATTCATCTTTGTTTTCCATCTAAAAATGAGCGATGAAAGAAGGAAGGCGACTTGCCCGCAACTTTTTGGAGGTCAATGTATGTATTCATACCCGAATGACTTCACGAAAAACCATAATCAAAAAATCAATTCTTTCTAACAATCGACAGACAGAAAATGACTTTGGAATCACTTTACGCCTTGATGGTACTCATCTCAGGTGCCAGCGAGACATGTTCTTCCTTCGTCAGTTGTAAGCTGTCATTTAGTGCAAAAAAACTGCAGCGTCCTCATTCTGCTAAATATGATTGTGGAACGCAGTGGATATGCGCAGTTCTTTGGAAAAAGAATAAAGAAAACACATGTTTGGTAGATTAACATATGTACTCGTTGTACACTCGTGTAACAATTTTTATGGGCTAAGATTACATGATTCAATTATTTTTCTTTTGTATCATAGATTATTCGACGCAAGCGTAACGCGAGTAACATAACACAATTTTATTGCATTTCCTCCTCGACCTTCAATTCTTTCATAGCCTTTTGAAACTCTGGGTAGGTTGTTAAATTTTTCTTGTAGTCCAAGAGGCAGTAAAGAAGGGACCAATACTTTCCTTCATACTTCTTTTTCAACATGGAACATCCGAATGTGTACACAATAGTATCCTACAAATATAAGCATGTTAAAATACGGTTAAAAGACACAATCGGTAAAGAGTTAGCCATATTCTAATATTGAGCAACACTTCGCTGGTATCTGTACATGCTACAAGAGGTTCTTTGAGTGTGTCCTAAACTACTCAGCAAGCTTTGTGAAAACATACTACCTTATTATCTTTTCTCCAATCCTGAGCAAATTTGTCCGGGTCAGGGTATTCACAGGTGTCAGATGTATGACAGCTGTAAATTGAAAGTGTGGCGCAGGACTGAACAATCAGAATGAGGACATTCTGCTGACTTACGTTTTATTAAGGTAAATTGCAGCCGAAGAGAATCTGGGATAGAACGCCATGAGACCATCACTATCTCTCAAGATTTTTCTAGCCGCAGCTACAGCGTCGCAGTCGTATATTTGTTCCTGAAATCATGGTCATATCTGTTAAAAAGTGGGCGAAGGTCGGAAAATTGAAAGGGAATAGTGAATACAAGAGGAATCGGGTCTTTATTCGTAAATCTTCGAAAGAGTTTCCAAGCCGGTTTTGTGAGAAAATTCTTCAAAAGCATGGATGCTGCTTGCCCTTTCTTTCCGAATTCCCGGCTCCAAGCTGCAAAGTTATGCATACGAAATGTTTTTAGAGAGTGACGCAATCTTCTTCTTCAAAAATAAAAAAACGCCCCTCATTTTAAAAAAATTCTGTTGTCATCCCCCGAAAGGAATCAGGGGCAGCCCTGCCACAAACATATTATGTTTGCATAGATGTATGTTGAAAATATGATTTTGGTGACCGATGAGGCAATCTTTCAAATATGAGGCTTTTGCAACGGTGGGTGCCATAAGCTACTGGTATTTTTGATGCTCACTCAGCATGCTATTTTTCATTCAAATTTTGAAATTCAAGAGCATTCTGACAAAATTTGTGAAGACCCGCGCTATCGCAAACTTGGTAAAACACTGCCTTCAAGAGACACTCCTCAGCACTCGCAGAGAACTACTCAGTCGACTTCTGAAAGTACTAGATCTCGATTCTTAAGCTTCTGTTTCATCTTTTTTTGGATTGGTGAATTACACTTCAGCAACACATTATCGACGCTCCGCCTACATGTAAGATTTGAAATGGAAATCAATTTTTGCTTGTGATTCGGCAAAATTTCTAATTTCTAACAGTTCTCAACAAACAAGTGAATCAGTTGTTAACATTTTGTTCCTTGACATCACCAGTCTAAGTAAAAACACTCAAACAAATCTGTTGCTCGCTATGTAACCTACAGTAAAAATTTGTGTGGCCAAATAAAAAAGCCAAAAATTAGAGAATGGTTGCTAAGCACGATTGCCCCTATGATTAATTTTGCCAAATAGACGTACATAAAATTGGAATTCTTTTACGCACCCCATGATATACAGCTAGCACAGCACGAAGCAGAAGTCGTACGCAGTTATTATTCAAGAACGAACATCACGTTGATTTCTTTCAACACTAACAAGACTAAACTAAGAAGACTGGTAAGATTTAAGCATACCACAGGCTCCGTTCTTCCCAACAGATTAATTAGCGCGTCGCCAAAACGTGCAATCCAACCATTTTCAATGCAAAATTCCCTTGTTCTACTGTACAGCTCAAATAGATCAGCGACAACCAGCAAAGGCATAAGCTAAAAGTGTAAACTAGAGCTGCTCAAAAAATCTCAAATTGCCAGACTTACTGCGAGGATACACGGTAGCTTCATCGGATGCTTTCGTTCTCAATAGTGTCGTATTTATATCCATGAAGCAATGAAATTTAGAAATATCCTTTGTTCACAGATCATCAGGAGCAGTGGTACTGCGAATTTGCGGTGAAAAATATGGGGCCGTTATAGAAAAGTTCATTATTGGCATTCATAGAGAGCATGTTTGCAAAGAGCGCTCAAAACATCTACAGTGTTGAGCATGCAACACGCTGCACTCAGCCCTCAGCAGCATTTGTATGGTGTGTGCAAATGTCCAGGTAAGTTGTAAGCGTAGACAAAGCATCAGCTGTCAGGTTTCCGGTTGACACCATTATTGCACTTTTGAGTTTGCAGTAATGCTGACAAGTGAAGATCAGAAGTCGAAGTGACCAATCTAACAAGGGAATGGTCAGATATCGAAGTGGCTGATCCAGACAATCTGCACACCGTTGTATGCAGTATGAAGCGCTGACTTTAAATCTGTCTTCTTTATCTGCTTATCGCTTTTCTGGACGAAGCTATAAGCCATTGAAGGCCAATATTTTGCTAAGAAATTATGCGTGAAAGTGAAAATTTGGTTGTACCGAGCCATGGTCGGCTTAATGCTGGGCCAAAACATGCAGCCAACTTACTTCAAATTCTCAAAGCCTAAAGCTGAGCTGAAACTACAACAATGTGCTCAACTTCACAGTTTTTATTTACGACTTTTCCACAATAAAACTGCTTGTAGCTTCGTCCACAGAAGCGATAAGCAGATAAGGAAGACAGATTCGTAGTCAGCGTTTCACACTGCATCGAATGTTATGCAGCTTGTTTGGTTTGGCCACTTCGACTTCTGACCATTCCCTTGTAAGCAAGTGCATACCGTCGGATGCAGCATCACATCGATTTTTTGTATATCTACTAAACACCTTTGTGGATAAAGTTATGAGCAATTTTATAGCAAGAAAATGGTGCAAACTAATCATAAAAGTGAACCTACAAACGCCTTCTCAACTTTATTGACTTGCATGTTTTGGGCCAGAAAATCGCCAGACATGGATCTGTATGTCCAGAATTACTATTACATGCACTACTTCTTTGCAATAAAATAGCTTATAGCTTCGTCTACAATGGTACCCAGCAGAGAAAAAAGTTGGTTTAAAATCAGCGCTCTTTGTTACGCTTAATGGCACCTCGACTTGACCGTTCCATTGTGAGTATTTCAATAATGTTCACCTTATTTTAGTTTTGAAAAAAAACTTGCATTTCTTAGCACTTTGGCTACGAAAATTATCGTTATTCATTAAACACATCTATTATAGTGGCCCTTTCGAATATTAACCTTTGAATACCCTATTTGAAGTAGCCATGTACTCAAAGCAAATATTGTTAGATTACACATCATTTTTCGTTGTTATGTACAACTCTGGGTGCGTTAGCTATCAACTATCCATCTTTACTTCCAGTAAGTTTTCTCTTTATCCGTATGAGCAGACAAATCCATAGCACCTACTTCAACCTTCTTATCAAAGTGGCACACTGAAATATTTCGAGGAGCGTTTTGCAAGAATAACAGCTTCCATTAACTTTGATAAGACTAGCGACCCTATGGGCCGCTAACAGTTTGGCAGGGGCAAGCAATTTATTAGCTGCCTAGCTGTGACCACGAATCTCTCCACATTTTATACCTTTTCTTAGAGCTACATGTGAAAACCCAGTTAATGAGGAGTGTCACAAACGCCAAGATTCTACAAATCATTCAATAATTCCCGAAAATCCTATCACAACCGTACGAGGATTTGAGAACACAAAGTTGATAGATTTTCAAATCTTACGCCCTCCCATGGAAACCTCTCCACAGATTCACTCCTAAAATAAGATTTCCCCTCACCATGCCTTTTATAAGGTGATTTTTAATGAGCCCTTCAGCTGACATTATATAAAATTATGACGAAAATCGAATCATGAAAATAAGGTCTTCTTTACAAATGAAAACCCATGATAGACCATGATCATAACATTTGCTAGCGCTAGCTTATCATAATATCTTGCTAATTCTGAACTTCTGACTCCCATCTGTAAATCATCTTGGCTAAATTTTCCTGACAATCTCCATTTAAAGTCACCTCGAAAGCAGTCAACCTCAAAACGGATGCGTACAAAAGACTGACTCAAAAAATACCTTATTTCTTAGAAAATTTGACCAAAATAAATTCTCTTGTTTTCTCATGCCCTCAGCCGTTTACAGATCTTTTTTGTAAAGAACGCTCCACAAACCGCCTGTAGAGCGATATACATGGGAACTTTCCTACAGAAGAGAGAGACTGCCGTACGAGCCGCCCACAGACCGATATTTATGACAATTTATAAGAAGGGAAAAGTGTGGTTTGCTTACCAGCCAATATTCGAAAAAACAACTCTATAAGTGTCCTACCCAGCATTTCAAGAAGGAAAACTCCCCTAAGGCCGTCTACGGAATGTTATTTTGGCTATACCCTTCGAGACTTACAAACAATATTTTGGGACAAAAATGCCATAAAAGGTCTCAATCTAAACCAATATTTCAACAACCAAAATTACGTTCATAACGGTTGACTGAGACGTTATTTCAAGATAAAACTACCCTTTGGGACCCTGCAGAACTATAATCAATTATCAAAAGAATCTACCGTATAGGCCGCTTACAGACCATTATATTGGGGAAATGCTGTCCTGTGGGCTGCCTACAAATTAACAAACTTTCAAAAAAAAGATATTTCAGAAGACTGCCCTGTGAGCTTCTAATATACTGAAAGAAGTGCCCTATGGGCCACTTACGGACCGCCCTTCGAGATTTCGAGAAAAGAGTGCTTGTGCACTGCACACAGACCGATCTTTCAAAAAAGCACTGCCCTACAAACTCTCAAACCCGCAAAAATGTTCTAAGAACCAGTTAGAAACCAACTTTTCAAGGAAAAACTGCCCTACCCATAAGCCAATATTTTGAAACAAAAATCCGATATTTAAGAAAAAGTTATCCTTATAAGAAACTGATATTTTCAGAAAGGGCTGCCAGCCCCTTCAAACCCATATTTAAGAAAGAATCGCCCTACGGGCCGCCTACAAACTGCGACCGTTAATTACAATTTCAGTGCCCTATGGACCTCTCGCAGACCGATGTCTTGAGAAATAACTGCTACGAGGGCACTGAGCTAAGAATCCCTACAAACGTGCTCTACGAGCCGCTTGCGGGGAAATCTGCTCTACGGAACGCCAACGCACCGTTTTTGAGAAAAAAATGTAGAGACCTACCAGCTCCTTAAAGACCTATAGTAACAAACCAATATTTCGACCTCATCAGTCTTTTATTGAACCAGAGATGGATACTTCAAGAGAAAAACGAGAAGTGAGCAGATTATTGCAGCATGTACATGAACGTGAGGCTATACAGCATGTCGACAGCTAGACAGGCATGGGGCTCCAATACCAAAAACTCAAAACAAGGTTCGAATTCAGTCATACGCGCAGGGTTCAATCTTGCGAAAGAGGGGAGGGGTACTGTTAGCAACCTTACGAGAGTGTCGGCACCTCCCCATACTATAGCATTTTTGCACTCAGTAGACGCACCCTTTTCGAAAACATCCCCCGAGGAGGGACGATGCTTACCTCTTCGAAAACACGCTAGCCTTGTTGACGAATTTGTACCCTCCGCACCCTCGGCAATCACTCGCCTCATTCCGCAACTTGTCAACATGTAAGTGCAAAACCTTGCCATTCTTTATTATAGAATGATCTACATCAGGCGAAGCAGCGTCAATGCTGGAAAGGACAAGAAAGCTAAGTGCTGTTAGGTGGGATCATAGGCAGAATTGAGCAAGAGGTCAGGTACAAGTCTTTCAAAAACGACTCTTCTCCCCTCTCCTTCCCTTCCATGAAAGCCCTCAGACGAGTCCTTCTTCCTCCTCTTGACATCCTAAACCTCAGGTGTGACATTCTAGAGGACATCATCCTTTTCTAGAGAGTTTGCAATTTTTGAGAATTGTGCGCCCTGTGAGTGCACTTTACAATCACACGTAATCTGACGACTGATTTTGATTTGAATAGGCCTACTTAAAAGGCCATAATTTTTTTAGGAGTTTAGCATTTAACCCCAAATTTTCAACGTAGAAAGAAGAAGCTATATGCTCAATACTTTAACAGGAATAGAGCGATTTTTGGATTTTGAAGGGTAAGGGGGTCAGGCGCAACCACTCAAAAGCTCAAACAGCCTGCTTTTGAGGGGTTGCGCCTGATCCAATTAACTGTTTAACAGAAGAAGCTTTTCCATTTTAATTTTATGAGATTCGTCAGCATATACCTCGAAGATTCTACGGTAGGTGTTTGAGCTTACCTTGACTTCTTCTGGCTTTATGGTGATCGGTGGAGTTGAAGACTTGCGGTAGACATCGCGGTGACCAACAATTTGGCAGCACTTCTTAATCAATTATTTGAAAGCCACATGAAGTCCACTTTCTACCATAGACTAATAAGGAGAAATACTTTGTTACGAATCCAAAAAAACTGTCTTCTTTCACTTTTGTGAGTCGAGTCAATCGTGGTTGAAAATCATGCTTTTTGAACGTTAGGAAACACTACAAAATGTATTAGGTAGTGTTTTATGGAGCTCGTTGAAAATTTTTGGCATACTGATTACAGAATTCGCCAAATTTACACAAAAAGCTTCTTTGGTGACCTCACGGTTTTGGCAAAACAAGTTAAGGTACTTAGACCTTCGTTTTTTTTGCTTCATTTGCCAAAACTTCCTCAGCCTAATTTTTCAACCTCTAAATCTATAGTATTTGCGGGGACCTCGGTGCCATGACGAGGACATCACGACAGTAGGTTTTTAAATAATGCAGTTGGAAATCTGTCAATAGTGATTTGGATGTTTTGAGAGGCTGGATCATGACTGACGCGCATGTACAGAATAAATGTAACCTATCGAACGTTGATCTTCAATGAGTCTCTTGCATGAAAAACCTTCGTGGCCACTAAACACTTTTGTAGAGCTAGTTCAG